GAAGGGACGCCCGGCGTCTCACTGACGTGTGCTAGGTCGTCGAAGCGAACGTTCAATAGACGGATTTTGACCCCGTAGTCGCTGATTAGTTCTATTAATTTGCTTGTTTCTGCCGTGATAGGTTGCTGGTTAAGTAGCATTAGTAAACCATCGAGCCACTCTGATGCTAGGCTGGGGGACTGTGGATGCAAGTTTAGCAGTATGCACTCCCCGGGCGAAGACTTGCTGAGTTGTCGAGAATGATGGCTGGCGTCTTGTGTGCTGCCCTTCGTCCTTGCTGTATAATCAGGAAGGCCATGAATTGTTATCTTCATAGAAGGGTTGTTGTGGGGCCGGGTCTTCAGCGCTGATCGAAAGTATTCATCAGACAACTTCGAGACGTTGGATACCACGGAAGACACAATGGAGAGGTCGACTGAGCGATACAGTAAGTGTTCAATAAAGCTCAAAGCGAGAGGTAAGTGCTAGGAAGGCCATACTCACTTTTATTTGGTAGAACGTCTACTTGAGGACTTACTTCCCGCCGATGCTCGAAGTCACCAAAGTGCAGAAATCGCCGATTATGCGATAGCTGAATATACCGCCAGGAGGGTTTTTTCGATGCCTGTTCCAAGTCCAAATCGTCTTCGTTCGGGAACCAGCCGCCTCGAAGCAGAGATCTTATACGCTGCTCTTTCACAAATTGAAGGGCCTCGTGGTATAGCTCTCCGCGCATATTTCGTAGATGTTGCCCCCAAGCATCTTCGTATGTAAGCTCCATTAGTTCCATCTGTAACTCGCGAAGGCGCCCGTAGTCAAAATTGACTATGTCTTCCTCCACATCTTGCACATCCTTGGTGCGAGGTGCCCTACCGACGATCGATTCAAGAAGCACACGAACGAGCTCCACGATCTTGTCGTAATCTTCAATCTCGGCACCCGTGGTTTTCCATAGACGGAAGAACGCATGCAGCCCAGCGACATGCAATCGCGTCCAGTGTAACAGTAGAGGCTGAAATAGACTTTCAACATTCAAGCGAGAATCTATCAGCAAGGATGTTTTGACATCTTCTATCTCTGATCTGTCGACTTCAAAGTGATTGTAGAGAATACAGGTGACGGACAACGAAGCACGAGCAATTGGACAACGTTGATCTGCTGGCCTTGTCGATTGCTCCAGTATGATTTTCTGGAATTCATCTTGATTGTTTCTGACATAATCTGCCAAGTCCATGAGTCCCAGGAAGCCTGTACATTCAAATTGCATCACTGGACTTTCGGTTTCGAAGCCAAGTCGCCGCCACTTTTCTGGGTCATGGCGTTTAGATCGACGGACATCCTCACCGGTTTCAGTGCCCTTGTCACGACTTCGTTCCAAAGAACTAGCCACGTAAATCCCCTTCAACGCTCTTCTATGTTCTGGCTTCTCCAGATCCAGTGCAATGTCTCGCCATTTCCGCAAAAGAACTTTGGTAAGATATTGAAACTCGATCAGTGGATGTATGTGGTCCTGCATGGCACTTCCTTGCATCAGGGAGTATACTGCCCGTATGACTCCCAGATCCTGTAGCCTCTGAATGAATTTTGGCCACTCTAAATCTGTATCGTTTGTGACGGAGTCACGCATGAGTGAATTGATCAGTTGCAATGCATTGGCGCAGAGTGCATGGTCTGCGGAGGATAGTCTGCTGACAAGCATCTCCAGGAACTGCGGATAGATGGCAATTGCAGGCTTTAGCGCGCGAGATCCGAAGCCTCCAGTCTGCGTAATATCATCTCCTGCGTGCGGGTTTGACACTATGGACACTAGTATAGACATAGCACCCCTTAAGATATTGACAAGTGGGTGTGTCACTATGAGCTCAACAACCTGAGATACAATGACTACCAGTCAGTCATTGTACAACAAATATTCGACGATACATTGACGAGGTCTTGATCGGGCCACCTACTCTTTCGACCACTTCCTGGTCTACGAAGTCCCAGCCCTTATCGACTTCTAGTAGTCTTGCGAAGCTTGTTAGGCTATATGCCAATGTGTTACCAGTTGCATATAAGATCAGATAGCGCAGCCTGACAAGTCCGCCTTCCGCAATGAATATATCGGCAAAAGAAGGGTCGCCAATGCTGCTCTGCAGCTTGAAAACTGCCATTTTGCGCACTCCATCTTCATCGCTCCCTAACCTCTCCACAAGTTCCGATATGCTATTCTCCATCGAGACTGTTTTGTGTGGTGCTTCAGTCTCTGGATTTGATCAAAGCCTGATTGATGCTCGAACTAAGCAGTATGTTTATTCAAGACGTTCGGTCGAGGAGGTGAGTTTCAAGTTTTACATCCTGTCGGGGTTGAAAAGTAGAAAGAGGGATAATCAGGAGGTGGGCTGCCAAGCAGCCGTACCTACTGTACTTTACTTGCTTCGCACCTTGAGTTAAGTTACGGCTGGAGCAAGCCACCCTAGTCAGCAATATGTTTCGAATCTCTCTCTATTTGTACGGTACGGGCGCAAGTTAATTCCTCATCTCAGACGTCTAGAACTGCGTAGAGCTTGTCAATTTATCTGTGTCAAGCCCAGCATCAGGACTACTAAGCCAGGCGATTTACCATCTCTGCCAATGTCTGAATTTCATGTAAGTATAGTCCAAGTACAACAGTGTACTGGAAACTTCGTATTATTGCGCATGTACTGTACGTAAGTGTACGGCACATGACCGGGTTTTCGAAACCTGTTACGCTCTGCTCCGTTCTCATACCTGCTGTTGACACCGGCCGTAATTCTAATGCTACCGAAGGTAAGTCTTATACAGTAGGCAGTGGAAGCTATACGCACTTTATACTGGGTAGAAACACGGACTGATATATACCAGTATTAAGATATACTCTGATGTTCCTAATAAAGAATGGAAACAAAACTTTCTAAAGAATTCTGATAGCAATACCTTCGACCCCTAAGAACCCCAAGAATCCCTAATATAACGTTAACCCCTAATATAACAGGACTTGTATTGTGAAAAGCCTGTATTCTATAATACAGTATCGGTAGCATAAAGTGTGTATAACCTACACCGCCTACTGTATAAGACTTAGCTCCGGTAGCAATAGAAATCCAACCGGTGTCAATAGCAGTTATCAGAGTTGGGTTAGCCTGGACATGTTAACTTAATGGACTGTGTGGAATGTAGGTACTCATACGCAGTACGTACCGTCGTACAGGAAGTGAAGTGGCCCGATCGAGTCGAGGAAAATTGGTACGTACCCGTGACCCCTGTGACGCTTCCTTTGACAAAGCATCCATCTAATTTATATATTCGAACTATGAAACGTTACAGTACCAAATACTGCGTACCTTCTTAATTTCATCACTCCGGTTCTAGACCTCCAGTATACTTGGCCACTTTATGTTTCTCAGTGCTAAACAGCGACCTGCTTCGCATAGGTGGTGGTATTACCTAACACATACATGCTCCCCCCATTGAAGCTTATATTCCAGTCTTGATGCTATTCGAGTATCTACCATGCCACACATCCAAGCTGAGCCCGGTGACTTTTCTCTCCTAACACCCAACATGAAGAAAAGGACCCGTGACGATGTACTTGCTAGGTATGGTTTCGAGATTTGCTTACGGGACTGGGATTCTGCCATCACTTTTGGTACCGTGTAGGAGAAAAAAAGGCTGACTGCGGAATTCTGGTATGCAGCAAGAGAATAGTCTTGCCACCTTTTCATGAAATAAGCCCTCAAATCCCTGCCAATTTGCTGGATATCGCAGAAGATAGTTACGAACAAGGTTTACGTCAACGGATTTTCGCGAAGAGACAGCGGCTTCAGAAACAATCGTCACCGACGCAATCACTAACACTTGCAACCTCGCATATCTCCTCTTCCCAAGTATCCTACCAAAGTCTCTCTCCGAAATCTCACCAACCGTCAACCTTCTGCTTACTCCCCTGTCATGTTTGTCATAGGCGGCCCACAACAAAGGAGACTCTAGATGCCTATTCCAATTGCGAAATATGTGCGCAAAGAAGCTGTTATATTTGCCTCCGTTCATGTGATGCTGTTGACTGCAGTGGCTCGATCAATACGCCAGTAAAGCCCTCAGGCTTTATAGATGAGGATGGTCGTGGCATGAAGAGGCAGACTCGATCACGAAGAATTTGCTCATCGTGTGCAGTTGAAGGTCTGAATGAAACAGGTGCTGTAGTGGCAAGGTGTCTTGATTGTGTGCTAAATACGACGCCTCGATGGCAAACTATTCCACCCGGGTAGGAGAAGACTTGGATTCATAAAGATGTCTCGTGAGATCAGGCGCCCCTTTGCTGTGCGCCCACGCAAGCAGCAAGAGTGGGAATGTAAGCCACAAATAATTCATTCGACTGAAGGCGCTCGCTACGAGCCCCTGATGCTGAATGAGAGCCTATTATGACTGTCACATAAAAAACCCTGAGGTGGCGGGGCCTGCCCAAATATCCCGGTTATCAAGGATGCTTACAGCAGCGTTGAACGCATGAGTAGGCATCACCTGCAGACTACTAACAAGGCAATTCGGCATCGTGAATAGTCTTGCCCGATGGCTTCAAGCAGGAAGGGGGTGCGATGATTACTAGCAAGACATATGAAAAGAATCTCCCACCCTGGAATGGAACAACAGGGGGAGAGAGCCTAGGATCAGAAAGCAAGCATCAATAACTATGTGAGCAAGGCGCAAACATTGATCATGAATAGTTTCATCGGTTGAATATATCTTTCGGCCAGTGATCACCCGGAAATCCTAGGAATAGTGGTTGTTATGGAGCAGCCCACCTGGCTCGAGAAATCTTACAAAGAAAACTAGAGTGTAATCTTAGTCTGAATGTGGCTGATCTTCCGCCTTCCGACTTATTCTGGTCTTGTCTATTTGGGCATTGATCCTCCAGCAAGAGGTTGGTCATGAGACACTGATAACGACTTTGAACCTGATAAAAAGATCTAGATGCTGCGCTGGTGTATACACAGACCACCCCGTAATCATTCTCAACACTTTCAACGGCCGAACCTCATCTGAGCCCCAGCATAATGCCAGAGTCCCCGTAGAAAGCCATGATATTCGACTGCTTCTTCAGAGGTATTGGTCCCGCTACTTCTACCGCCAGTGCAAAACATTTCGGTCAGTCGAACGTGCCAAGGAGGGTATCCGTCTAATTTAAGAAAGGCGCCGAATACTAGCAGAAGGTCGGGCTCAGGCTTTGCGACAAACCTGAACTGGTCCGAAGCCTTGTTGTTGTCATTCGAGGTTGGCGAACTTGGCCGAGTCGGCTGAGTAGTAATCTCACTAATTTCTGCATCGACCAATTCTAAGGTAATATCTTCGGGTGACAATTTTCCGCTCTGGGACATCTCTGCCAAAGTTTTAGTCAGGTCGACAAAGGTCTCCCTGCCATCAGTGGCGGAGAGCAGAAGCACCGTCAAGGATCCATTCTTGCAATCACTAGCGACATCTTGTGGCAGCTGGTCAAAGACAGGATGATGGGGCGCAAATAAGCGCAACCGGGGTTGTTGAATAGAAGAGCCATAGTAAGAACACATTTTGTTTGTGATAGCCTGGTGAAGTATGGGAATGCAGGATTTCAGAGCCCCTGCGGATGTCGCCCAATTCATCGCCCAATTCATTAGCATTTAGCACTGGCTTAGCTCTGTAGATTGACGTCAAGGGCCGGGTCTACTTACCGCTTTTTTCGTAAACACTCAACACTGGTATTCCGGCACTCACGCTCCAAGCTGCAAGCTCTGCAACTTCGTCCATCAAAACGCTAAGGGCGTCATCCTCCTTGCGAAGCGACAGGATGACACTCAAGTGTTCGGGTAGGCGCTTGAGGCCTTTCACATCTTTCCTGATCAATTCAGGGGTTCGATGGTGATAATATATGACTGCACATATCCGGTCCACAGTGGCATGGTAGCTTTGAAGGAGCCGAGATATAATTCCGAAGATGATATGAACGAAGGTGTATACAATACGGTGGGTTTGTGCCTTGACGAAAGTTCGTACAGAAGCCCTTCGGTGGGCTTTGTTCTGCCGCTGCGGTGACCGTCGTTGGAGGTCAGAGGGGTCTGGGAGATATGGCCTCAAAATGTTTTCCCGGTCAGCAGCACTGAGCTTGGTCCCTCGAGAGCGTACATCGTTGCGGAAAAGCTCTCTGTCATGTTGTGAGACCATGTTTTCTTTTTTGAATGTACATGAATATGTGCGAAGTGATTGCGCCGGGTGGTGAGAGGTCAAAAATGGGTAAAGCGCCCTGCAGGCTGCTAGTTAACTTAATGGTGAACCTGCCACAAAAACCTGTGAGCGTCTTCTGGATGGCCATACAGTACGGAGTAATCTGGATGTTGTTGCGGAACCGGGAAACAAAGCCTCAACACGACTGCAGGAACAGGCGGAATACATACGCTGTTTGTTTGCCCCGAGACACGACAATCAAGCGCGAGGTGGTCATATAGAACAAATACACGTACATGTAATTATGGCTCAAGATTATCGTTTATGTAATCAACTGCGGGGCGAGGCTGTCCATCACTGTTACGAGGAAGCAAGCTACCTCGTCTACTCCGTACTCCGCACGTCCCGTGGCTGCACTCGAGCTGCAGATACAGTTTGTCCCTGGACTGCTAAGTCAATGATCGCAATTCCTCTACCAGCATAAAGCTAATGCCAATGTGGGAGGATCCCGACGACAGACCAGAATATGCCGGACGATGTGTCAACAAATCCCCTTCCCAATGCTGTGTCCCGTCCGGTATTCCCTCAAGGTCCCGGCTTCACACTCGAAGACTTCTCTAGCCGTGATTTCATCGTGAAGGAGTTTATTGAATCTCTTTCCGAAAATGCAGTAAACACTCGGCGACCTGCAGGAGCATCAGGAGGTGGAAGCCAGCCGTTTGACCCCAAACCGCTGATTCGGACGTTTGAGCATGCGCAACGGCGACTAGCTGATATATCAGGCGACCTTGAGATAAGAGAAAATGAATTATCTGCTGCAGTCCGCAGGGCAGAGGCACAGCATACTCAGAATCTGAACACCCTAGGACGAAAATTAAGTCAAACCATCGAATCTTTCCAGCAACTCGATACGTCGCTCAATGGATCTGGTGGAGAGCTTTCCGAGAGCACAGGCAATATGGCTGTCGAGACAGGACGTAAGCTCGAGGAATTAGATCGTCAAAGGCGTCGGGCGCTTGACGCACACTTTCTCCTCGAATGCTGGGATGGTGTGAGCAACAGAGGGGAGTTAACCCTTTTGGAGAATTTGAGAAGGTCAGGAACAGGTGAGGCCAAGGTTCGATCGGCACAGATTGCGCGCCAGTTGCTCAGAATCAGCCAGCGACTTGACACTGAGAGTTGGAGTGAAGTAGCGGGAAGACATAACGGGTCCCACGCAAATGGAACTATAGCAGATGAGTCCGGGAGCACAAAGGGCAATGTCATTCGGCCAAATACGCGAGAAATTATTGAGAAGTTCTCCGAGACGCTAGAGAATGACTTGTTGAAGCAATTCGATGACTTCTACAGGAAAGCTAATTTTGAAGGCATGAAGGATTGCGCAACAGTACTCCATGATTTCAATGGTGGTGCAAGTGTGATTGCTTTGTTTGTGAACCAACATCAGTTCTTTATTGACCGCAGCCAGCTTGTGACCGAAGAAGTCGGAGGAGATCCAGAAGCCTGGGAAATGCTTGCAGATCCCGACGCTGAACCGTCAAAAGTGGAGCCCAGCCTACAGTCACTCATTGATGAAGTCAAAGTTGTGGTGCAAGAAGAGTCCGCGATCATCAAAAGGGCCTTCCCGTACTACGAACAAGTACTCGGAAAGTTCCTGCAGCGAGTTTTCCAGCAGTCGATTCAACAAAGACTCGAGATGGTCTTGGATAAGGCGAACAGCGTTTCATCACTAGCATTTCTACGTTCTCTACAAAGTTCTCGCAGTTATTTAAGCGCCTTAGTCGATGACTTGAAAGCTCATGGATTGACTGAACATCCCGACCCTATCTCGTCACAGACAGCCCTCATTCTCGATCAGCAACTGGAGGATCTGTTTGTGCCCTATTTTGTGGGTTCATCTTACATAGAAAGAGAGAGAAGGAATTTGGAAGAATTATACACCTCCTTACAATTCAGGTTCACCACTTTCCACGCTCGCAGGAAGAAAGCGGTGACAACATTTATGGCATCTCTCTCCAAAGCAGGCACGGAGGTTCTTGTCTCCGCAAGAGATGCACATATTGCACGCCTTGAGTCCTCCGAGCTTCCTGCAACACAGAAGATGCTCTTACTCCGATTGGCGGGGCTAAGGGAAGCCACTGATCCCAGTAAACCCACAGACATCAAGCTTACAGAAGATGATGGTCTCCCCAACATTGCTCATGCAAAGAGAATGCTCAAATGGCTTGCTGAAGCAGTTGGTAGAGGCCTAGAGCTCAGCATGACTAGCGAGACGCCCAAGGATATGCTTGCTCTTCTGAGCCTTCTTCTCGCGATGATGGGAGAGGGCTATATTGAAGTTTGCTTAGACGCCGCTCTGGATGTAGCCGCATCCCAGGAATCAGGCAGAACTGAGCCTGATTTCGGGTATATACCGGCCATTCGGAACGCTATCAGTGTCGCCAACTTAATGGTCATGTGCATTAACACATTGCTTATCCCTCTTGCCGCAGGCAGTATCACAATTCGCCGAGAAATGGAGAAAAAAACGAACCTGATAACAATAAGAATTGAGGAGAAGATAAATTCCATAGAGCAGAAGGTTATTGACGCAACCTTAGCCTGGGTGAACAAACTTCTTTCTGGTCAGAAGAAAAATGACTTTCGACCAAAGGAGGGTGACAATGCGACTTGGTTAGAGAGACTACAAACACCGGTCAGTCACTGCGCTATGCCTTTCCCACAAGCCCGTTACCTCAAGTGCTCTCAGGACGTGTACTAATCGATCTCAGACATGTGCGTCAATTTGTGCCTTCTTGGCTCGTGCGCATAACGTTCTCAAGGGCTCGCTACCACCTAGTGGCTCTAATCTCCGCCAGTTGCTTACGGAGATTGCTCTTGGAACAAGAAGTCTTCTCCTTGAACATTTCAAGCGGTTTGTTGTGAATGGGCCAGGAGGTCTCATTGTAACCAAGGATATGACACAGTATACCGATCTTTTGAAAAGCTGGGATATTGAGGAGCGGGTAAAATGCCCGGGTGGTGCGCTAGATGTTCTACTAGAAGTCGGAAACCTTTTCGTCATTGGCTCTGAAGCATTGCAGGAGCGGATACGTGGGGGCGCAGTCAGCGCTGCCGGCGGAAATACTGGTAATGGTAACGCCACTACAGGCCCAGGACGCGGCATTGGAGGTCCCACTCAAGAGGATACAGGCCTCAGTGTTCAGGAAGTCCGGGCTTATGTTTCTCGCAGGGAGGATTCTAACACCGCTGCTCTGCAGGTCGTGCTCAATAATCTTTGATATGAATAGCACCCAGGCCCAAAATGATATATGGGACGCAAGTGCTTGTATGTTGAGAAATAGGATTTCCATTTCGGGTCAGCAAAGATTCTACCTCATCTGATGCCCCTGTAGCTTGCATACACAGGTGATTGTGTCCATGGCACCGTTAGATGAGGTTGGAACGGAATCAGTATTACTGTAGGTGCGGGCGTCGCTACACTTGACTTGTACCGTGATCTATCCTATTCTTATAGTTACATCTTCTGGGTGCTAGGTAGCCCTTTCAAGCACATGGCCTTAGGGCCTCATATATAATACCTTTCGTCAGTCTGACTAAACGCCATGAACGTTAGTCTCAGAATTTCCTAGGTAAGATGTACATAGTATGATAGCTCCACTCGTCTGAAAGCGCTTCCAAGGTGAGGAGCACTGTATGTACTGAGTGGCTTATCTGCTTCCGCTATCTGCATGAGGTCATTAGTGCCTCGATAAGCGATACGAGCCGACACGTGATCAGGAAGCTCGTCTTCGGCCACGCAGCGACAGCTATGTCGATTCCATTTCTGTCTGTCTATCCTTCGTTCTCTTTTATTTACTGGACCTGGTACGCCTATTCGACAAAACCTGACCAAGCAGTCGAAATCCTCTCTGGCTCTCGCTCTTCGTGCAAACCACTCTGTTTGGTGCAGCCTTCCTTGGGGTATTCCGCCCTTGTTCGCTGTCTCATCGCCAATGTTATAGAGGTTGTGGCGATGGCGTCCCGATGGCTCCTGTTAGTGGGCTACCTGACGCTGGCTCTCATGCTGCGGCCCAGCATCGCAAAATCAGCCGGAGAACCCAAAGTCACCACGACGAAATTTGACTTTGCTCCGGTGTCCCTTTTCTACTTCGAGGACACGGATAACGTCCTCATGAGCCTGGAGAACGGTGATCTCTTCCAGTCATTCGATGGAGGTGAACAATGGGAGTCGGCTATTGGAGAGGGCGAAGGCATGAAACAGCGGGTGGTTTGGGTTCAACAACATCCTTTCGACAAGAACAGAGCTTATGCCCTGGGCAACGATGGGCGTCATTTCAAGACGAAGGACCAAGGCAAAACCTGGAATGCTTTCACAATTGACGAATTCCCAGCGTTACAGCAACACGCACCTCTTGTCTTCCATGGTTGGGATTCGAGCAAAATTATCTTCCAAAGCGAGGAATGCGCCGGGTTTTTCTGCATCGTGAGATCATACTATACGACGAACGATTTCGAAACGACCAAGCTGTTGCGCGAAAGCGCTGCCGGATGCTCTTGGGCCGTTGGTCATCCAGATTTCGCAGATAATCTCCCATCCTTCGATCACATTGTCGACAGAACGCTATGCGTTGTCCCAGGCTTGAAGGTGCCCTTTGGTCATGCCAACCGTCTGGTGTACTCCGACGACTATTTCAGCAGTAGTACTGATGGCATAGAAGTGAAACTACACGCAGACCGGCCAATCTCTGGAGTCATCAGTACCGCTGCTGTCAAGAAGTTTGTCGTTGCTGCTGTTAAGTCCAAAGGAACCGACGAGCTTGCTTTGTACGTGACCACTGATACAATTACTTGGAGTCGGGCAGAGTTCGGCAGTCACAGGATAGAACAAGATGCCTACACCATGCTGGAAAGCACTAACTACAGCCTGCAGGTGGATGTTCTGACCAGCCCTTTCAGTGGCATGGGCGTGCTGTTCACCTCAAATTCGAACGGTACATTCTTTACTCGCAATATCGAGCACACCAATCGCAATGAAGCCGGTATTGTGGATTTTGAAAAAGTCGCTGGTATTCAGGGCATCGTATTGGTCAACACGGTCAAGAATCCTGAAAAGGTTGAGTCAGGCTCCGAAAAGAAGATTATCAGCCAAATAAGCTTTGATGATGGAAGAACCTTCCAACCGCTCAAAGTGGGCGACAAACATCTGCATCTACACTCGGTGACTACTTTTGCGAATATTGGCCGGGTATTCTCGAGTCCGGCGCCGGGAGTAGTCATGGGTGTCGGCAACACAGGCGACAGCCTCAAGAAATACAATGATGGAGACCTGTTTGTTTCAGACGATGCAGGAGTAACTTGGCGGCATGCTCTTGACGGGCCTTACAAATACGAATTCGGTGACCAGGGTGCTGTGATAATGGCGGTCAGTGATACTGGGAAGGCGAAAAAGGTCAGATTCTCTCTCGATCATGGCAAGGAGTGGGAATCAATCGATCTAGAACACACGATTTACCCCACCATGGTCACAACGACTCCCGACTCTACCAGCCTAAAGTTTGTTCTCGTTGGGCAGGAGAATGGTGATGGCGACTACATTGTCTATTCAATTGATTTCAAGGGCCTCCACGAACGAAAATGTGGTCAGGATGACTTTGAAAAGTGGCCGGCCAGATTGAATGAGAAAGGTGAACCTGACTGTTTGATGGGCCACAAACAATATTATCGGCGCAGGAAGGCCAATGCAAATTGTTTTGTGGACGAGGAGTTCAAAGACCCTCAGCCGATCCTAGAACCATGCAAATGTACGACCGAAGACTACGAGTGCGAACAACGCAGCGAAGATGGCCAAAGCTGTAAGCCTGCTGAAACCCCCAAACCTCCAGAGGGCAAATGCACAAACCCCACCGATAAGTATTTGGGTCCATCAGGTTGGAGGCTCATTCCGGGAAACTCCTGCATCCGAGAAGGCGGCAAGAACATGGATGATCAGATTGAGTGGTCATGTGAGGACGTGGGAAGTTCTCCTGATAGCAATGGCAAGATCAGCCATACGAAACAGTTCTTTGACGCGAAGCAATTCAGCGCATACTATTACTTGGAACGCCAGTCCAGCAACTCAGGGACTGACGAAACTGTCATCATGTTGACAAGTACACACAACCTCTATCTCTCGCATGACCACGGTAAGACGTGGCAGCAGTCATTGCAAGGGAAGAAAATCACCAGAATTGCACCTCATCCGTATAGCAGTGACACAGCCTTTCTCCTGACTGACGGCAAGGAGGCATTCTGGACGGTTGATCGCGCTCACACATTCAAACACTTCGAGGCACCGATTCCGCCTACACATGACCGTGTCCCGACAATCTCGTTTCACCCACAGTATAGAGACTGGCTTATATGGACCGGTGCTGTGGATTGTGAGTCTGGCGATTGCCATTCCAATGCCCATATCAGCCAGAATCGTGGCGAAAATTGGAAACTTCTTCTCCGCTATGTTCAGAAATGCGAGTTCGAGAGTCGAGAGACGCGTCCCGACAGCAATAAGTTGATTTTCTGTGAGCAGTTCGAAAGTGAAAATCGAAACAACCGATTGCAACTTTTATCCAGCGAAAATGAGTTTGCCGATCGACGTGTCCATTTCGAGGATGTTATAAATTATGCTACAATGTCCGAGTTCGTCGTGGTAGCGTCTCGAAACCCGGAAAAGCCGGAATCTCTGACTGCGAGCAGCAGTGTGGATGGCCGGACCTTTGCAGAAGCACACTTTCCTCCAAACCTTCATGTTCCTATCCAGACAGCCTATACTGTTCTCGAAAGCTCTACTCATGCTGTTTTCTTGCATGTGACTGTGAGCAATGTCGAAGGAGGCGAGTACGGCTCCATCATAAAAAGTAATAGTAACGGGACCTCTTACGTGCTCAGCCTAGGCGCAGTGAGTCGGGACCATCGTGGCTATGTTGATTTCGAGAAAGTTCAGGGACTCGAAGGTGTTGCTATTGCGAATGTTGTCAGCAATGTGGACAGGCTTTCTTCCGGTGAATCGAAGAAGCTGAGAACCATGATCACTCACAATGACGGAGGCCGGTGGATGTTACTACCCCCCCCAAAAAATGCGGATGGCCAAAAGTTTGGTTGTGCCGTGGAAGCAGGCAAAGGGATTCCGGGTTGCTCGCTCCACCTTCATGGCTACACAGAGCGCAGGGATGAAAGAGACACATATTCGTCTGGCTCGGCAATTGGCCTGATGGTCGGCATAGGTAATGTGGGCGATCATTTGGCTAGCGATGGCGAGCCAGATACATTCATCACACGCGATGCTGGCTTCACTTGGAAGTTTGTGAAGCAAGGCCGGTATCTGTGGGAATTTGGTGACTCCGGTTCTGTTGTCGTGATTGTGCGCGAGTCAATACCTACCAAAGTACTTTATTACAGTACGGACGAAGGTGATACTTGGGAAGAATACCAGTTTTCGGATGTTCCAATGCAGATCGAAGACATCTCAACTGTCCCGTCTGATACTTCCAAAAACTTCCTTCTTTGGGGTAAAGATGCGGAGTCGGAGAATCGAGATAAACTCGCGACTGTCAATATTGACTTTAGTAAACTCCGGGCCGCCTCATGCAACTTGAACGAAGATAGTGGAGCCAGCGACGATTACTACATTTGGGAACCAAGCCACCCTTTTGAAGACAATAACTGCCTGTTTGGTCATGTTGAACAGTATCATCGCAAGAAACCCGCTGCTCAATGTTGGAACGATTGGCGTGAGCCCCACATTCACAGCATAGGGAGGAACTGCAGCTGTACCAAATCCGACTTTGAATGGTAAGACTTACTTACCAATTGCTCCGATTGGATCAATGTGAGCTCGGAAGCAAACAATGGCTTGCTAACACTGAACAGTGATTATAACTACGAACCTTTGAGTGATGGTAGCTGCGGGCTCGTCAAGGGATTGTCCCCACCGGATGCGATGGCTGTTTGTAAGGTGGATCCCGATCGTGTCGAATACTGGGAGCCTACAGGATACCGGCGCCTGCCCCAAACGACTTGTCAAAGGGGGTTGGAGTTAGACCATCTGGCCTCGAAGCCCTGCCCAAATCAAAAGGAGGAATATCAACGTAGACACGGCATCGGTGGGGTTGGGCTGTTCTTTGCCATTGTGACACCCATCGCTGTGGCCGGTGCTGTTGGATACTATGCTTATACCAGATGGGACGGCAAATTCGGTCAAATTCGCCTTGGAGAGAATGTTAGCACCTCTTCTGGTTTGCTGTCGCGAGACTCGCTGCTCATAACCATTCCCGTCACCATAATCGCGGGCGCGGTGGCTGTTGCTAAATCCTTGCCGCTTTTGGCGACTAGTTTATGGCGAAGTGCAAGCGGTGTTTTGCGTCTCAGGCGCAGTGGAGGCTATACACGACCCTACTCGTCTCGGGGTGCTTTTGCAGCCCGACGAGGCGATTACACTAGCGTTGTCGATGATGAGGATGAGCTTCTTGGGGTGGAAGATGCCGACATTGACGAGGAAGATGAGCTCTAGTGGCAAAGCTCATCTGCGCTCTCTTCGACAGGCTTGATGGCTTTTCTTTGGTTTCATGTTATAGTATGAATATGTAGGAAGGGCCCCTGTTCGCCTTCCTTTTGTACTTGTCACTCATGCTAGGTTGACTTGATTATCTTTGGTCTTCTTTTTAGTATTTTTATGATAAGTTCCCATTCGGGCAATAGCCCGAATCATTTTTGCAAGGGTATTTGCATGGTGTCATGCATTCATTGATCGTAAGTGTTGTTTATGAAGATCATAGTCCCTTACATACTTTGTGTACCATTAATCTGACGGTGATATGTTCTGTGGGTGCTTTCTGGATCATGTCGTGCCAGATGTGTATGAGATATTAACCAGATTGACGTATGCATTCAGGGTGATATGTCAGAAAACTTTTCCAAGGAGATGAGGTCTTTCCGACTATGAGGCAAGAATACTATCGTAGCCCTGGGTCCCATTTTACTAGCCACTAGTCCGGCGTCCAACAAGGCGCGCTCCTCGATCTACAAACAAAGCCCTGAATTGACAAGGCCGCTCTGCTCAGCAATCATATAGGGCCACTTTGCGAACTTTGGTAGTTAAATTACCATGGAATTGAAGCCAACCCAGAGGGGGGAAGTGCGTATTATGGACCCAGTAAGACTGTCAGGTCTGCGTTAATGGGAGACGCGTTCCATACAATCGCACCGGACCTGGAGATGAGAGAGGCCTAGGTTGAAAGTAGGGACCTAAGATTGCTCCTTGGCTCCAGGCAAATCGTCTGGGCCGAATGAGTCCGGCAGAAGCTGCAAATCAGATATATGTCAGTACACCTTTTCAAGGATATATTTAGAAAAAAAAAGCATGGTGACTGCTAGGATGAACAATAGTGAACACTAAGTGTAATTACCTCTCCGATAGTTTTCATAGTAAAATTCCCTTGCCCGTCATACATAAAGATGGGAAATGATGAAGTGCAAAATTCACGTATGCTGTTCGCTTGTTAGTCATCGGTTTAGTAAAGGTAAGTACAGGTACCAAACGAGAAAGTCATGTCGTTCATGAGTGTAGAAACTGAAAAGAAATGGCTTCAAGCATAGAATCAACTTACAACTGTCTGCACATGCCGCAAGGTGATGCTGCTGGTTCAATGTCTGTTGCAACAGCAATTGCTTTAAAGTCTCGATGCCCAGCTACCTGCAGATCAGTCCAATACGTCAGCTGTGACTTCAAGTTGGACAGGATTTCCAGGGCGTGGTGCCGCCTAAAAGTCACACGGCAAAACGAGGACAGATATGAGCTGGCCAGCCTGGGTAAACAGCTGAGCAAATAGTGATTTGTAGAGCGAGTCCTAAGCTTGCAGTGGCCTGCAGCAACTTGCAGCAAGGAAGGCAAAGCATAGAAGAAGAGTAGGGGTAACTCACAACCGCGGTCCCCAATGCAACCCTTTCTGCACAGGTCCCAACAGGATAGGCAGCGTTCTCTACGTTGGCACCGTGAAAATACTCGCCTGTTTGCGTCAAAACACAGGCTCCAACACGGAACTTTGAATAAGGGCCTATGGAAGCTTTTTAGTAATCTATAAGGCACATGAAAATCAGAAGTTTTGGAACATGCATTCAACGTCGCGTTCAGAATGAAGGTTGAGGGGGTTAGGAATCAGCACATATCTCGAACTTACAGTACGCAACGTCCTTGGCAGAAATAGCTTTGGTGGAGAGAGTCTCCAGCTCCTGGGCCGAAAGATGGTCAGCGGACGATGCCATGTTTAAATCCATGTTCGGATAGATTGTCGGATATATGCTCGGGAAAAATGATTCAGCAAGAAAGTGATCGTTCAGGTTCTGGTGGTAAACCAGACGGACGAGACGTGAGGCGAGAAGAGATAAGTTAACGCTGAATGCGGGAGAGGACCGAGGGTCACACGTCATGCTCTTTTTCTGGTCTTGCAGCCCCTCTCCGAAAATTTGCGCTAACTATCGCGGATCAACCAACAGCCCATTGAAAACCATGACAGTAACCTTTCCGAGCTCGTTGACCATTCTACTCAATGTAACGTATAATCAGGTCTGGTAATGACTCAACCACCATCATGGACTTCTAATTCTGGCATTCCAGAAAGAGCAAGCATTGATCCCAAAAATAATAGTTCTAATGAAGACTTTCCTTCCTTCTTTTCCTTCTTCCTCACCTTCCGCCTCTATCAATGCCAGATTGAGCTTTCTTTTTCGGAAAAGAAGACAGGGAAATCAGAAGAGAATGAGAAAACTGAGAAACGGGAAGATAAGAGTGAAGAAAGCAAGAAGAGAAGAAGGGAATCGGATATAGAATAAAAAAAAAGGTCTAGATCTAGAACATGAATATAGGTATCATACAACAATGCCAGAAAAGCTCAAGAAATCGCAAGAGTTACTCGAAAGAAAAAGGCCGGAGGACAAGGAGATTATAGAGTGACGACACGCTCAACCAAAATGGCTTCGTAAACCTTCGTATATCGTGAAGATAAAGGCTGAGCTGGGAGCAGACCGGGCGCAAGTGATACCGCAACCTCGATATAATCCCTTCACTCCCTGCTGTGCCCACAAGGCTCGGGCAACCCCCCAGAATGTTTGCCTTTCACCATTGTGCGCCAGGCGTGTGATGTCTTCGGTTTGCATGCGTGACTTGATCGTATCGGCTGGATAGAACAAGAAATTGTAACTGACGCCAGCTGCTGCACCTGCGAGCATCTGCTGGGGTATGGGAACGCGATCGGACTCAAATGCGGCATCATCAGCCTGCTGAGAGGCTGCGCGGGATGAGCGGAAGAGCGCCATAACTCCTTCGTAGCTACCAAACCAAGCGGCGCCACCGCCGGTTTCGCGAATAAATGTCCCTAATTGTCCACGCCAGAAGCCCATAATACCATCGCGTCGGAACACAGATACAATGAGAGCCACAGGCCCCGGCGCTTTAGCGCCGGGGCCTGCCAAAGGTACTTGCATCTTGCATTTGATCAGCTCCACCGGGGTAAGTGCGAGAGAGGTTATTGACCCAGAAGCAGCACCGCAGAGAACCAACGCTGGGAAGGGTAGCGCATCTGCCGGGGCGTAAAACGTGGCGCGAAGTATATCCTGGACGAGGCGGTAGCTGAAGAAGAGGCAGCTGTTTTCTACAGCCGCCCCGACCATAGGGGCGCTGATCCCTCGGTAGAGCCCACGCACACCATCGGCTTGGAACGACTGACGGAAGCAATCCAGGGGACCGGTGTATTTTAGAGGAAGATGATCCGGCTGGGACTGGAGTCGTACTTTGACGGTATCAAAAGGGTATTCGATTACCTTCCCGACCATTCCCGCAGTCTGACGGAGCGTCAGTGGTTTCCAGCTCATCACTGAGCGATACAGCGAGGCGACTCACAGATCCGAACAGAATATCTTTGAAAGCTTCGAAGCCCTGATTGGGCGGGAGTGAAGGGAGTTCCATCGACATTTCATTCTTTAGTGCTATCGCATTCTCTGCAGCCGCCATAGGGGAAAAGATAGTCAATAATTGGAGAGGAGATGAGGCAAGGTAGGCAGCAAAGACAGGACAGGAAGTTAAGCTGTTAAGAGAACATGGTAGGTATAGAAAGTGGTTCGGTCTAAAGGGCCAAGCGAGTATTTAAAGAGGAGGGCCTGATCCGAAGAGGGGCGGTGTGTCGGGGAGGGGTGGTGTCAGTGAGATGCCCGAACCATGCGCGATAAATTCAGGAAAGAGCGAGCATCGCTTGAAAAGCTGGAAGCAGATGAGCCCAAAGGCCGAGAGGTCACATATAGTGGGGGGCAAAAGAGGAAGACGGTTGGTTGCGATGTTTCAACTAGCTTGCCAACCAAGTGATTCTTAGGAAACGAGGTGGGACAAATCCCTCATCCTCGGAGCCACAAGTGCCAGACGCGGGTTCGGATACTCACTTCCACCGAGATCCGGTTATCTGATCGGTCTAAGATAACTTTTTCCTCAAAATCAGACAACCGGAAGAATAGAGGGAAAGGCAGCGGAGAACTGCTAATAATACATATCACTCCTTCTTCCCCATTCTCAGCATTTATCTCACTTTGGTGGCAGATTCAATTCCCATTCCCACCCTCCTCACCTGGTCTGATCATGTCGTCCTCCTCGGCTTCAGTCCCTCCGTCCGTTAAGGGCATGCGGAAGAATGGTATTAATTTGCTTTCCCCACTTTTTACCTGTTTTTCTCTTTTTTTTTTCCTTTCTAACATTTTGTTTCTTCCCCTCCCCCCTCCTGAAAAAATGACTGGAGCTAATGAGTCGTACTTCTCGGACCCGCAGGAAAAAATTGGCACGACTCCAAGAAGCCCTTCCGCCCTACGGCGGGTATGACCTCCTATGCGAAGCGCCTGGAAACCCGCAAACACCAAGAGGCCGTCAAAGAGCACGAAAGGGAACTTAAGGAAGAGAAAGAGGCTGAGCGGAAGGTACGGCAGACTTGCAATTCATTCCACCCCTAGGTAGCGTAGGTAGACTGACAACACAACCAGGCCCATATCCAGCGAATTAAGGATCGCAGAGCCGCCAAGGAAGAGAAAGAGCGCTATGAAAAGATGGCCGAGAAGATGCATCGTAAACGTGTTGAGCGCTTGAAGCGCCGTGAAAAGCGCAATAAATTGTTGAATTCTTGATGCTGCCTAGAGCTTGGTCGACCCTGGACAGTTCAGTGTATGCTGTCGCGGTTGAACTGTTTCTTGCTGTTTGCTAGCTGCACTGGATGCATGGCGGTTACCTACCAGCTGTTCGAAAATTGCCTTTTCTTCCTATTCCTACACGCAGAAATCGCCCTCCTCTCATTTGCGCTGAGCTTTCGGAAGATAATGTGGCGATAGGCGGCCTCTTTTCACATTCTTCAATTTTCTGTCGGGACAAAAATGGATCATGGCGACCTTGGAGTTGGGGGTTCTGGATACTGGTTTTTAATTATACTCAGACGGGAGCAAGAAACATCTTTACATAGGATCCTCCAAGACTTCATGCTATACCAAAGTAGTTGTAAAGCCACATGGGCTCGGAGACGGAGTCGGGCGTTTCAAGTCATGCCGATCGTGCTGTATGTACTGTACCAGTACGGAGTACGTAGTCTAAAGAATCTAGGGGGGAGGAGGATATCAATCGGTCAACGCTTGGCGCCTGATGTCGAGTCCGCCATCTCAATCGAATGGCTTTGACCAGCAGCACAGCTGATGGGCATTGAAACAAGTAGTTCTTCTCTTTTATTGCATCAAACTATCCGCTTTACGGATCAAGGGCCTTGCTGAGTCCGAACGGAGGCCTCGATGAGCTTGTCCTCGCCTGGCATGGTATCTTCTACGACTCCCGAGCGCTCCGTCCCTCATCCACCGGCCACCCATGGTTTTGGCGTGGTCGTCACCCAGAAACCGCCTAGTACTTCACTGGACCAGCAGCTGGCCAGCACAAGCTATGATCAAGCCCAATTTATCACCGATAGCCATGGTCATGAAGACAATCTGCAACTTGCCAACATCGTCAGCCTGTCCGAAGAGAAACAGCAGCACCGTCATCTGGCCATCGACGTTCCCAGCTTAGACCGAGTTCTGTCCAAATCACGCCACCGTCACAAGCATAAGCGTAACAAATCTGGCGACGGTCGTTTCCCACGGAGAAAGAATCAGTCTACGACATCTACCACTGCCAGGGGTCTGCTGCCGACGTGGCCCGGGATGAGGGACAAAGACAACGATGAAGAGAATGGTCTCCTCCGTCCGATTACACGTCGAACGACACGGTCGCGCTGGGGATCAGAGTCTACCACGGGATTGACTGACGGGAGTCGGAGGGAGAGCTTACTCGAGGGAATCGATACAAACACAAAAATTGGCCCGGTCGCACGTCAAGAGATCCGGTCGCTAGAGGACCTGGAGCAAGTGAAAAATCGACGGAAATATGGCGAGGAGTGAGTTCCGACCGCTGTATCGTGAACCGGGCTTGGTATGACTGACTGCATACCAGGTATTTGAGGTCCGCTTTGTCACTTATCGGAATATTGGCTACAGACATCACGCGCCGTCTGGATTACACGTACTATAACCTTTTAGAGAATGTGGCAGCCCTGAATGCTACGGTATCATCTTTCCAGGAACTGCTCAGCTCTACATCAAGTCTCTTTGTCAATTTTCAGCGAGAAACGTCGAGTCTCGACCAAGAGATCCGAAAACAGATCGGAGAGCTTCAAGAATTCCAGCCACAGATCAGAAAGATAGAAGCTTTAGAAGATCGCATGAAGATAGGGCGGACGAAAGCTCAGGAACTCAATGATCGACTTGAGAACATGCGGAATGAGATCGATCGCTGGGAGAAGAAAGAGATGGAATGGCAAGACCGCGTGAATCGAAGGCTCCGTATGTTCTGGACCTTTGCAGTAGCGGGTGTACTTGCAGTGCTTCTGGCCATTGCCACACAGAACAGGAGCATGATAACATCCTCGGCCATTTCCAACAACATGCGTGCAGGCACGGCAACGTTGGATAATAGTGTATCACTGCGGGACGAGGGCAATCACGAATCTTAAGGAGGAAACACTCACACGTGGATCAAGCAGCCAATTGATACCCTATATCAGGGATCCGGTAGTTCGAAGCCTACTGGTGACGACCCTCTGAATTTTTCTGTTTCTGAATAATTTACAAGTGCGGCTTCCTGTCTCTGTGCTCTCGGCATGAAGGTCAAGGTCGGCCTCGACTCCATTGCATTACTATTGGCTTTTGCGTGTGAT